AACCTTGGAGAAAAGAGACAAACCATTGAAGGGCAAGCCCCTGAATCCCCATGTCGGCGAGATGATGGGCCAGCAACTGGTGGTCAACCGTATCGAATGCAGCCGACAGGTCTAACAACACCAGTGCCACCACGCCACCTCAATCCAGATGCCTATGGAGGTCATCCGTCAAGGTGACCAGCACCGTCTCCATCCCGTGGCCATGGTGAAAGCCGGACTGGAAGGGATCGAGGACAGAAGCCTCATCCAGGTAGCCCTGTAACTGTGTTTGGTGGGGTAGCGCGTTCAGGATGGAAATGGTGAGCACCGGGGCATTGTTATTGAGGAAATAAAGGGTCCTCCAGGAACGGCTTTCGGGCCTTTGTGGCTCAAGGCCGGGAAGGGGTGATCTTCCTGGGAACAATCTGGCTCGGCCTACCTTAGAGGCCCTTTGCGGCTTCTGGGGTGGTGGGTCAGGGGTTCTCTTGAACATGCCATGCTGCTAAGGAAATAAAGGGTCCTCCAGGAACGGCTTTCGGGCCTTTGTGGCTCAAGGCCGGGAAGGGGTGATCTTCCTGGGAACAATCTGGCTCGGCCTACCTTAGAGGCCCTTTGCGGCTTCTGGGGGGGTGGGTCAGGGGTTCTCTTGAACATGCCATGCTGCTGGTTGAAAGCTACCTTACAGTGGCTTGAGATCGGAACAGGTGCATTGCCCAGAAGGAAATGAAGGTGGTCAGGAGTTTGACACCTGTCATTTTCCTCAGTACATTTCCGGTTACCCCTCGCTAGTATTTGTTTTTATTAAATAATTAATAAAGTAGCCCTTGTTAAATCCATATTGGTGTCTGTCTCGTTATTCCGACTGAGGGGGCAATAGCCTATTTTATATAGAAATCAATGGAATTCTGAATATTCAGAATTATTCTGAATATCTGGAACTACAGCATTCAGATTAGAATTTTTGGTAACGATTCCAAATATAACATTATTCAGTACTTCCATATACTTCTGTATGCGAATTGCACATCCCTATAATTTCCTTTGACAAATCAACTTTGTAGAGGCATTTTTTTATTTTTAACGGATAACTGATGGTTTTATCTGATTCTGACATTTAGCTAGGAATCAAGCTAACTATGCCATGAGCTTGCACATTAACAGGGATTTTTTTTAATGTAAAGTTTTGAACAAGGCAGTAGTCAAGGTCATGAATCAAAGTGCCACCAAACTACAAGGCAGTACAGATTCACATACATGTACAGGAAGGCAATCCCAGCTGTGCTTCTGTACAGAACAACAGACTCCTGAATCCTATTACACTAAAGCTGCAACAGTAGTTCTAAACCTCCTGTTGTACTTTGTATCTGCATGCTACTGTAATTTAGCAGGATGATGCCTAGGTTATAGAAGTAGTACTTAGGTGATTAGACTCATTCTATGTTATGTGTTAATAAAACTTTTATGAATTGGAACAGACTCCTTTACTGCTTTCAGTCATTGTTAACTAGTTAAATGTTTTAACATGAAAGTTCTAAACTTTTTGAATACTGAGAAGCCATACACTAAGAAATTAAATAATGAAATCTTGAATACCTGGTAGTGACTTGACAGCACTTCCCACCATCACGATAGTGTCTATTCGTGGTATATTAGACACCATCTAATATGGTTCAATAAGAGTAATTTGTGGCCCCCATATGTGGACAATGCAGTTTATCTAATCCCTTCCTTCACAAAGTAGGTATTCTCAGGTCATGGAAGAAACTAAGTCTTCAATGGCTAGGAAAGTGATTTTACTTTTCCTATCACCTTTCTCATCTCTCTCTCTACACTTGAGATATTAATGGTTTTACCGGGGGTGGGTGGGAATGATGACACATGTTGTTCTTGAGCCTCATTATTTTCCCAACGAATGATCAAACTATTCACTTGCTAGTTTTGGAGCTGAGAAATGTGAAAGACCATTCAGATTCCTGATCTGAAATTATAGTTCAAATTAGTAAAATCCCAAGGAGGGACAAACAAGGGTGAGTATATCTACTACAACTGACCCATTTATATAACATTGTGATTATTAGCAGATTAGATCATGCTATTACATTGTCTAACCTTTGTACTATATATTATTTATGCTATATGGCCTAAATTCAGTTTAGGTATAATTGTGCATACCTGCAAATCTGTAGTGGTCTGATTTCAGAGGCTTGTCCGACGTAAGTTTACCAGCTTCCATTTTTTTTTCTAAGGCCCAAACATCTGTTTTAATTAAGCAACCTGTCTTTGTGAATCAGTGTCTGTCAGTAGATGGCAGAAACTGTCTTCATCTGTCCTCTCTCCTTCCTGCCTGATAGATGTGTGGTGGAATGGGCCTGCTCCAGCCTCAAAGTTTTCCCAACACCTGAAGAGGCTTTTCTCTCTCTTCAGTAACCTGCCACCACCACCTGACCTTTGTAGGAATATTCCGCTGGGTGGGTCAGGACTCCCAGTTTCCCTTCCATGTTCTGAGGCCTTGCCTCTTTGTCTCCTGCTGCCCAGCACTGGTCACCATGGGGACTGTTTATTGCCTTGTGCACTCCTGGAGAAATAGCCACTTGCTGACTGACTGTCTTCCCCTTAACACTTCTTTTACAATAGTTTGTCTGAGGTGGTGGAGGTCTATGTGGTACATAGAACCACTACCAGCATCAAAAGTTCTAAAGTATTTATTAAAGAAGAAAATGTTCACAGGCATACCTTAAACACAGCACCAGATTGAACAAGGGATTCCAAAGAAATGGGTAAAGCATGATTCATCTGTTCCTCTCTCTATACTTGCCCTGCCAGATGTTAAAATATAGGACAAGCTCTAAGTTACAGATATCTACAGAGTTTCTATTACCTTTAAGTTTCCTTCAGCTCCTCAGGACAGCACATTATTAAATGGCTGCCTCCCCCAGATCTCAGTTAAGAGTTCTGCCTGCTCTGATGGACTCTGCACCAAAGAAACCTTCCTCCTTGCTCCCCGTAGTGACTCCCAGTTTCCCTTCCATGTTCTGAGGCCTTGCCTCTTTGTCTCCTGCTGCCCAGCACTGGTCACCATGGGGACTGTTTATTGCCTTGTGCACTCCTGGAGAAATAGCCACTTGCTGACTGACTGTCTTCCCCTTAACACTTCTTTTACAATAGTTTGTCTGAGGTGGTGGAGGTCTATGTGGTACATAGAACCACTACCACCATCAAAAGTTCTAAAGTATTTATTAAAGAAGAAAATGTTCACAGGCATACCTTAAACACAGCACCAGATTGAACAAGGGATTCCAAAGAAATGGGTAAAGCATGATTCCTCTGTTCCTCTCTCTATACTTGCCCTGCCAGATGTTAAAATATAGGACAAGCTCCTTTGTTTAGGAAGTTACAGATATCTACAGAGTTCAGCTCCTCAGGACAGCACATTATTAAATGGCTGCCTCCCCCAGATCTCAGTTAAGAGTTCTGCCTGCTCTGATGGACTCTGCACCAAAGAAACCTTCCTCCTTGCTCCCCGTAGTTTTATCACCTCTCTTTTTCTTACCTGCTGAATGAACAGATCAGGCCATGTCAGCAAAGCTTTTTCTGAAGTCTCTAGAATTTTCCTTCCTGAGATCCCTCTAGTATTTAATTCCTCCAAATCTCTGTTTCCTGTTGTGGGGTCTGGCTAGACCTATTAGCATTTGTATGAAAGTGGGCTGAGGTAAATCTAGAAAGCAATTGAACTGACTTCCCCCCTTCCTGCCTGTCCTCTTCCCAGAGAGAGAGAAAAAACTTTTAAAACTCAGGGTGAAGGTTTTGCTCATTTCAAACCTCCAAAGAAAAAATGCATTTCTTCACAGTCTCTCCTATCTTAAATGTGCATAAATGCATTAAAGGAATGTCCTAACTTCTATTGAACTGTTGGAGTCAAATGACCATTGTACCCTCTAATCACTCAATGCTTAAAACTACTTAGTTCAAATTATTATTTACTTGAGCAGAGACCTTGAAATAGCAAAAGCTTCCTGGACTAGCTGTTTCAAGCCTGGCTTTGTGCAGTTGTGCAAGATCATGATCTGTTCAGTTTTGGAACGGAGAGGTACATTGCATTGGGGAAAAAAGAATTTAGTTGCTGACCGAGTTGGAGTATTATACCCCGTTGAGAAGCAGCCCCTCATATGACAAATACGGCCGGAAAAATGTTGGGGGAATGGAGACTGAAGAGAACGAAGTGGGGTAAGGACTAGTCTTGTTTTGCTCGTCTTTTGCTGAACATAAGCTATCCTTTAGGAGTTGTGCAGTATATTGGAAGTTTAAGCGGATGGGAGTATTTGAACTAAGAGCTGAGAAAATGGAGGAAGAGGAGACTAATGTGGAAATGAATGAAGATACTAATGACCTTACGTGGGAACAGTTTCAAAACTTTTTGATTGAAGAGGCGAAACAAGCATTTAAGGCAGCCTGTGAAAATGTACTGAGAAACGCCTGCAAGAATATGATGAGAAGTTTACAGAATATACCTCTAGAAGGGAAAGATGAAATATTGCAGGAAATGCAAAGAAGGGAGGAAGAAAAGGAACGAGAACAGGAGCAGGAGAGAGAGTCTTTTGATACACAGACGGTGCTGACAAATGCTGAGAAAAAAAAACAGACCTTCATTTAAACGTGCTAGAGAAGCAAAGGAAACAGAACCTGAAAGCAGGAGTAAGTGGAAAATGTTCTCTAAAACATTTTTGGAGAAGGAAAAAGATACCAACAAAAGACAAAGGTTTAAAGAAAGCTTTAAGGACTTTTAAAGCATTTAAACAACTAAGGAAAAAGGTGATCGATGGTGTAAGAGATTTTTTGGAAGAGGAAGTGCAAGAGTACAAGGACTTACGGCATCTTGAAGAGGAAGGGGAAATCGAGATAAAAAAGAGCTGGAGTACAGGATTCTTGTGTTGGCTGTTATAATTTAAAGGTTATTGGGAGTCTCTTAACCCGGAAAAGCTGGCTGTAAGGTATAAAGTAGTGATGATGATTGTGACTTGCAAAAATTTAGACTGATAAGTTATGTTGTGCCCTAAATTACTTGAAATGAAGCCTTTGATTGTTAAAAATGAATTACAAATATGATTAAATTGGTTGCTATTTTGGTTTTTAAATCAACTGAAATGGAAATTTTTGCTAGCAAAAATAGAATGAGCTATATCTATGATGAAATGGCTGGCTATTTTGCTACATTCATTAACGTTGATGGTGATATATGGGACGGAACTATAGAAAGGTAAAACACAAGAAACATAGGTGGTAAGGTAAGAATTTTAGGGTTTTTTGAACTCTGTTTGGTTTGTAAGTCTGTTTGTTCTGCTTTAGGATGGGACTGATAAGAATATTTGCTATGTGTTAGGTGTGATGTCTTGAATTACCTGAAATGAAGCCTTTGATTGATAACAATGAATTATGACTATGATCAAATTGGTTGCTATTTTGGTATTTGTAAATCAAGTGAAAGGGAAATTGTTGCTGGCAAAAATATAATGAGATATATTTAGGATTAAATTGCTGGCTATTTTGCGATATTAATTACTGTTGATGAAGCCTGTGATTGATAATAATGAATTATAATTATGATCAAATTGGTTGTTATTTTGGTATTTGTAAATCAATTGAAAAGGAAATTGTTGCTGGCAAAATAGAATGAGTTATATCTATGATTAAATTGCTGGTTATTTTGCTAAATTAATTATTGTTGATGATATAAGGGTCTGGGATGAAATTATAGAAAGGTAAAAACACAAGAAACATAGGTGGTAAGGTAATTTCTCTTGGGGGCTTTCTTTTTTGTAGCTTGTTTGTTTGTAAGTTGGCTTGCTTTGTGATTGTATGGTATAAATTTGTGGAAGATAATTTGTAATAGTTAAATAATTATATGTAAATCATTGTATCTAGTGAGTTGTTTATTTTGACTATTCTGTAACATATAACGAGAGAAAAAAGTAAAGAAGTGCAGGTACAGTTTAAAATGACTAAGGCTAAGGGATGTTGTAAGAGTTTTGGTAAAAGTGATGATAATTTGGAACAGAACTAATTAAAAAATGAGAGTTGATAGATGAAGCATAGGAATATATAATGATGTTATAAATTTAAAATGAAGGGTGAATAGTGATTGAACAGAGAAGATGAGTAAAAGGTAGTTGAGAAAGATCTTGTGTCAGGTAAGGATTAGAGTTGGTTAGCAAAACTGAAGAGAAATGATGTAATATATGTAAGAATAATCAAATTGTAAAATCAATGTGATGTACTGAGGAAAAATTACTATCTGTTTTGTCTGGGTGTATGTTTGTTGTGTATAAAAACTCAATAAATATAATTTTTTAAAAAAAACTTTACAAGAGTGTAACTCAGGATTGCCCTGCAAGTAACTAAGGCCCCGGTCACATGGGAGGCTTTGATCTGCAAGAGGGATGGATCGGGGGTGCATCAAGTGGGCACCATCACACCACAACATCTGGGAAGCAGCGCTCACCCGTCCCTGATTCGTCTCTTCTGGCCGAAGATGCAGATCAAAACAAACCCCTACAAAACACTACTACTTACCAGAAAATCCGCAGCAGGGACGGCCTTGGGATCGCTGGCACGCCTGTCTCTGGCAGCATGTGAGGCCTCCTGCCAAACTGCGCAGGCACACACATGCGCAGCGGGCTCGCCTTGCTCACCCATCTGTGGCTTCCCCCCGGCATCTGATCATGCCGGGGAGCAACTGCGCAGTGGCTCGGGGGATCTGTCTGATCTTGCCGCTGCACTTCTCTTTTGATGCGGCTCAAAAAAGCCGCACTTCAGCCGCACCTTTTCCCCAAGTGTGACCGGGGCCTAAGCCTGACTAAACCTCACTCCTTTTAATGTCCAAGGAGCAAAAATAGAAAACTGCTTTCAGCCAAAGTTTTAAATACTTATTAAATTATTCAAATGCCCTGTGATATTGATTTTCTAGCAATAAATACATTTAAATATTTTATAGCAGCGGGACTTCCAATTTCTATGCTCTAACCCATCCGTACTGAATCAGTCCGTGTCCTACAGTATCAGCAAAGAAATATTTCCATTTTTTAACTTAGAAAAGTATTTGTATATATGTTATATTGGACTACATATACTGAATTTTTGTGTATGTATGTCAGCAAGCTGCCAAAGAGTTCTGTGTGTTCACTTGGGCCTGTATGTGCCCAGTTGTTTCCCCCCTCCCCTCTCTGGTCATCTCCAGCCCCACCGTGCATGCTTGCCAATGTCTTGCTTATTATATGCATTCCTTTCGATGTACGCTAGTGTTGCTTTGAACGTGTGTTATCTACAAGGCCACAGGTGGGGAGTCGTGCTCGCTTGGCTTTTGTTTCTCCTCTAACAAGCTAGAGTGTGAGAAGCCTCTAATTGTTTATCTTGCAAGAGCAGTTGGTTCTCAGGCTTTAGGCGCGAGTTTCAACGCACCCGTGTACGCGGGAACCAAGTCCATTGGTTATTGCAATTACAAAGTGCTTTATTATCCTGTGCCCTGACCCTCCCGGGTATTCCTAACAGTTCAAGTGTTCTTGACTCTTCATTGCTTCAATAAAATATTACTTTGCTACAAACGTGTATTCCATTGAACGCATGAGGGGATCCTGACAATGTACAAGGTATTCAGCTACAGCTGACCACTTTTAAGTCCCATTGATTTTAGTGGGAGAAATTTAACCATGTGCTCAGCTCTCCCATCAAATTAGATAAATGGGATTTTAAGGCACTCACATTTAGCTGGAACATGTCTGTAATCTCCAGTGATAGAGAGCATACAACATAATAATTTATCATGTCGGTAAATGGGATTTTAAGGTACTCATATTTAGCTGGAATGTATCTGTAATCTCCAGTGATACAGAGCATAAAACATAATAATTTATCATGATATTTTTATCCTAAAAACAGAGTCTGCAATGGCTTCTGCAGAATCTGATTCTGGTGAAGAGTTTAGTGAGAAGGAGAGTGACAGTGATGATTTTGATTCTGACTCGAGTGAGGTGAGTGACTGTTTTCTAGAAGATATGTCCTCACTCCTGGACCAGCTCAAGGAACCTAATGATATTAAAAGCTGTGATAACTTTTATGAACTTGTGGATACAGAAGATGGAAGTTCTGCAGCTTGTAAGGAAAATTCAAAAATGCCTGAAGACAACTGCAGCTACCAGGACCCAGGTGAGAAGAAACTATCCATGGTGTTATTTATTTTGGTTATAACTTACATTAAATATATAGTGACTTTGCAGTTAACTTCCTGGTTGTGTTTATATATTTTAGAACTAAGAAAAAGTCGAAAATTTCTGGATCGTTTATCAGTGCATGTTTTTGCATCTTTATCAAAAGCTAAGTAAGTATAAGAATTTGTTTGTTGAAACATAAATATAAATGCAAAACATAAATTTCCATTAAATCCTGCATATATGATTGACACACACACACACATATATATAAATTATTATTATGTAATGTGAAATCTCAAATTGCATTAAATAAACTCTATGGAAAACTATATAGCTCCAATGTTAAGTTGATACATAGATAGCCAGTATTTATAGATCAGATCCCCTTGTGGATATACCATGGATATAGCCAACTTGTTACTACAAGGAGGAGAATAGTACTGGCTCTGGCTTCAGTCTTAAACACACTTACTAGGGAGTAAACCCAATCAAGCTCAATGGGACTGACTCTGAATGCACTTACTTACATATGCACTGTACATTTGTGATCTCCTGCTTTACACTTTTCACGTTAGTATATATGCATGAATAGGACTTTTTACATGGATGACACTTCCATATTAGATCCCTTCCAGTCCGGCTTCCGACCAGGCCATGGGATGGAGTCTGTACTGGTCGCCCTCATGGATGACCTTCGGAGGCATCTGGATCGGGGCGGTTGGGCAGTGTTGTTGTTAGACCTGTCAGCAGTGTTCGACATGGTCGACCGCCAATGACTGCTCCACTGCCTCACTGACGCTGGGATTCGGGGTCTGCCTTGCAGTGGCTTTCCTTGTTTTTTGGGATTGGGGACAAAGGGTGGCCCTAGGGGAACAGATGTCCTGAAGACATCCGCTTGTTTGCGGTGTGCCCTAAGGGGTGATACTTTCCCTGATGTTATTCAACATCTATATGCGCCCCCTTGCCAATATTGCTCGGAGGCATGGGCTGGGATGTCACCAGTATGCAGATGACACCCAGCTCTATCTGCTGTTGGGCAGCCAGTCTGGCAGATCTGGACCTGGTGTTGCAGGCCATGGCTGGTTGGCTTAGACTGAGCCAATTGAAATTGAATCCGATGAAGACAGCGGTCCTGTGCCTGAGTCGGGGACGTCCGGAGTGAGGGATCCCACTCCCGACATTTGATGGTGTACTGCTGATGCTGGAGTCAGAGGTTAGGAGCTTGGGAGTGCTCTTGGATGCCTCCCTAACGATGGAGGTCCAGGTAGCAGCCACTGCTAAGTCAGCCTTTTATCACCTTCGACTGATCAAGCAGCTGGTTCCCTTCCTTGAATGCAACGACTTGGCAACAGTGATCCATGCAATGGTCACCTCGAGGTTAGACTACTGTAATGCTCTCTACATGGGGCTGCCTTTGATCCAAATCTGGAGGCTTCAGCTAGTGCAGAATGCAGTGGCCAGGCTGTTATTGGGTCTCCCTAAGCAGGAGCACATTCAGCCTGTGCTAAAAGCACTGCACTGGCAGCCTATAGCATACTGGATTCGCTTCAAAGTGCTGGTACTCACCTTTAAAGCCCTTTATGGTCAGGGGCCTACCTAGCTGCCTTTCCCCACATGTTCCCCACAGAACACTGTGGTCAGGATCCCAAAACCATCTGGACCTTCCAGGCCCTAAAGACACCAGGCTGGCATCAATTAGGGCCAGGGCCTTTTCCATAGCAGCTCTGCGCTGGTGGAATGAGCTCCCGGAAGACCTCAGGGTCCTGTGGGACCTTTTACAGTTCCTGTATAGAAATATTGATTTCTATAGGTTTCATGTCTTCCCTGGAATGCCTCTTGCTGAGACCCTGCTGGGTTGCTTTCCTGTGGAAGCCAAATGGCTTGAACATTTGGTCAGAGAAGCTCAATTGCCATGCCATATAATTCTTCACACTTCCATGCTGGCAGAAGACCAGATGGCCTAGCAAACAAGCAAACAGTCACGTAGACCATGGGTGGGTTGGAATTTGGGGGGCACTTGACTGCGTGTGTGCCCTTCAGAGCTCTGACCATTCAGATGTTGTCCCCATGGCAACCCTACAATTGGACACTCCCATGTCTACTCTAATTGGCCCCTGGCCAGGGCTAATTTGGAGACTGGGATTACCCTATATCTGGTCAAACCCTATGGAGAGAACTCTCTCTCTTTCTCCTGCTATGCTCTCTGTTGCTCTGTGTCTGTTCACCTGAGATGCTGTGCTGCCATGTGGCCTGGGAGAGAACAAAGGACTGCTTTGTGAGCTCAGCTCATGGTTGGCAAAGATGGACTTCTTGCTCCAAATCCCTTGGGGCTATTGGATTATTACCATGGACTATTCTGGATTGATAACTGTTCCTGAGTTGGTAAATATGCTTTCTTACTGTTTAGTTAAGGCAAAATTTGCCTAGGCTTGTTACTTTGAATCCTTGTAGTCTGTGCTAAGTTCTGTGCTGAATAAACTTATTTTGGTTTTCTAACTTGTCTGGATTGTGGTAACTGGACTTCAAGCCTTTTTCCTGTAGCCTACCGCTCACCAATTATGCTACCTTAGTAAGATTAACTGTACAGCTCTAGATTGAGTTGCTGATGTATTAAGTCCCAGATGCCAACTGAGATTCTGGAATCTAATCTCAGGCTGGTGAGGGAGTAAGTTTAGAGATTCCTGGTGGCTAGTGTTCTGAAATCCAGAGAGCCTACCTTTCAGGGTTATTGTGTAATGTATTGTGCCAGTGTAGAGTTCTTCCCCTCATCCCTGGACTGGCCTGGGGGGGGCAGAATCTATACAGTTCCGCAGGGCCTGTAAGACAGAGTTCTTCCACCAGGCCTTTAATTAAGGAGCCACACCCAATACATCAAGGCTCTGGGCCCAATACCATCACTGACAGCCTGAGTTTCGCGGACACTAAAATCGAATACTGACTGGATTTACTAGTTGTTGATGCAAGTCTGCCTTTGCCATCGTTACTTAAGTTGTTACTAGCATCTTATGTTGTGGTTTTTAAGATTTCAATACTTTTATTATATTGCTGTTTTAGCCATTGCATATATGTAAACTGCCCTGAGCCTTCCTTGGCAGGGAGGGCAGGGTATAAATAAAATAAAATAAATAAATAAATAAATAAAATGTAACAAGTAAACTAAGGCTGCAATCAGACGTTCTGTTTGATCTGGTGTTGTTGCTGGTTCCTTCTGGATTAAAAATGCACATCCAGACAGCAATATCTGTCTTCCATTCCCCAGTTGTGGGCACCCTGTTCTGACCTGTCTTCAAACTAGAGTTATTTGGCACTGGGGAAAGTCTGGTCCTTCCTGGTGCATATGGTTTCACCCAACATTTCCAGATGTCTGATCAATCCATTGTGTTCTCAAGCTTCTCAAAACGGTGTTTTCTTTTTAAAAAACTTCCAAAGAAAGATGCCTGTGTACTTTTTTCCTGTGCTTTCCAGCCACGGGTTGGGGAAGGGGTTAATTGAAAACATGAGGGTTTTTTTCAAGGAGGGAGGGAGAGGGGCAGTCTGAGAACAATGCCCCTGACTCCAGCTTCACTCTAAACTTTTATATAAAATCACCAGCAGCATAGAGGAGACAGGATGAGGCTTTTCTATCCTCTCCCCTGGCTTGGAAACATTTGAAACCTTGAATTTATCAAAAGCAGTTTCAAAAACACTTCCTTCACACTGAACTACATATTCCAGCAGCCTCCTCCAGCAATCCCATTGGCCACCAGCTGCCAGCATTCTGCTTTGAAGCACTGCTTCCCATACGTACTTATGGGTATGTTCAAGAGACAAATGGTTAAAAAAAACTGCCTGACCACCCCACTCCGTGGCCACCGCGTCTGACCAATCAACCATGAGGTGAAAGTGCATTGAAGTGGGTTAAAGGAGGAGGTCTGATCAAACTCTCAGTTACAAAAAACCATGGATTTATTAGAAGTGGGGAACTAACTGCATGTCTGATTGCAGCCTTACTCAGTTTTACACATGAAAAATAGAGATATAAGACCTCACTTCTTTAAGTGTGACATCATGGACTTCCAGGTGACATCTAGAGTTTTCATGCTAGGTACCTGGGCCCTCATGTCAGGTTCTCTAGCAGCCAGACTAAAGAGTCTGACTTCCTGTGCATTAAGACAATCCACAGGAATCTTGAACTTTCTGTATAAACCAAGATACTTAATGGTAGTCCTGATGGCTCAGTAAGGCTATTGTTTGCCATGTCTAGACTGAGGTCTGCTGATGTAGTAATCCAGCAGGTGATACAAGGAGCCAGTGATGCTCTGTTTTGCATTCCCTGTCCTCTCTCTAGGATTGCCAGCTGTCCGGGGGGAAATGCCCTATGTCTTTAATACATGCTTGATGGGATATTCTTTACCTGGTGATGTTATTTATCTCCATGCTGTGAAAAGCTTCAACTGCCCATTTCCACATATGAAAGGCTATATAAAACCTAGGGAAAAGGTTTTATTTTTAAAATAAACTAAATTGCTGAATTGTAAAAATAAATGACAGTTTATGGAAATCTTGTATCGTTAATGTTTACTTTCTGCATTTATTTCATTTGCTTTATCATTTAGGTATTCCAGCATACTGAACGACTTTGTAGAATCTGAGTTTTTTGTAATTGATGGAGATTCACTACTTATCAGATGTTTATGTACCCCAAGACCATTCCTGTCCTTTATTTACACTGTAGAATGTTTTCTGAATGATTTTATTCAAAAAGGAGCAAGATTTATAATTGTATTCTTCAAGGTATGGTAATAGCAGGTATTTATTTCCCTTTTATGCAATTGCATCACTTTAGAAAGTTTAATCTATCTGTACTAAATATAAATGTAATTATCTTTTATGCTAATTGAAAGGGCTACAATATATTCTAATATCAAAGTCTGATATCTTTGAATACTTAAATCCAGTGACTGGAGCTGTGAAATTTAATTATCTTTTATGCTAATTGAAAGGGCTATAAGATATCTTTGGATACTTAAATCCAGTGACTGGAGCTGTGAATGGGCAAGACAGATCTTTCTATAAACTTGAGAAAGGGCCTAGGTTTACAGAAAAATGTGAAATCTAAAAAAAAAAATCCCACTGGGCAGCTTTAAAAAGCTGAAAATGATAAAAAGTACCTGTAGCTTTAAAAAAACAGATTCCCTCAGTGGCTGTTGCTAAGAAACTATAGCATTCCAAGCTTGGTTCTGTCATTAAAAGGCAGGGGGAAGGGGCAGGGCCCTTTACAGGCTTATTTTGTTCTTTAAGGAAGGGGTCTCTGGGGCCAGGCCTGACAAAGTTTGCCAGCTCCAGGTTGGGAAATCGCTAGAGATTTTGTGGTGGAGTCTGAGGAGAGCAGGGTTTGGGGAGGGGAGAGACCTTAGCAGGATATAATGCCATAGAGTCCACCCTCCAAAGCAGCCATTTTCTCCAGGGAGACAGATCTCTGTTGTCTAGAGTTCAGTTGTAATTCTGGGGGGTCTCTAGGCCTGGCAGTACCCTGACCTGCATGTCTCAACTAGGCTTGGCTGCTTGTGGCTGTTCAACAGCAGCCGCCTATGAAAGCCAGTGTGGTGCAGGTGTTAGAGCTTGGAGGGTCTGCAAGATCCCAATCTTGCTGCGGAAGCTGACTGAGTGATTTTGGACCAGTCTCATACTTTCAGCCTAACCTATCTTACAGATTGTTGTGCAGATAAAAAAGAGGAGAGAATAATGAAAGCTGCTAGGGTCCCCACTATGGAGAAAGACTGTAGTTTTCCTAAGTAGAGGCTGTGGGGGAGTGGAGACGGAAAGCTGAAGACAGAGGTACAGATAACAGTAGGTTGTCTGTTGGGAGGAAAGTAGACCTTTCCACACTTGGATCCCATCCCTGGTTTTATCAGGGTTCAACTTGCAACACAATACCTTGCATTTATCCCTGGTTATTAACAGCATTTGTTTATCCTGGGACAAGTGTGGGGCAAAACCAGGGTGACCTCAATGCAGAGTTCATTTCGGGGGGATCGCGGGGGAACGCAGTTCCCCTGGGTGAGGGGCGGGGGCGGGGCACATGACGAAGCCCTGCCCCCTGCTTCCAGCCGCCCCGCTTCCGGCCCTCATTCAGCCAGGAGGAGGCAGGAGAAGAGGGAGGGTAAGTTGCTTCCTCCCCGCCTCTCCCCACCCCTGCCTGCCTGGGGGCAGGGAGGGCCTTGGCAGGGCTTCCTCGCACTCCCGCCAGCCTTGCAGGTCCACCACCGGGCCCCTGGTGTCAGGGGGTGTGGCATATGCTAATGAGTTATGCTAATGAGTCCCCCTGGCTCTTTTTCTATGAAACGACCCCTGCCTCAATGTAATGTGGAAACAAAAAATACCCCAAGATAATTACAGGGGTGAATTCGAGTGTAGTATAGGATGTAAGTTCGGGGACAGGGTTGAACCAGGATTTAAGGTCTAGTGCAGAAAGGACCAGAGTTGCCAACTCCTGGACATTTGTGAGGTGGAACCTGTGGAGGGAGGGGTTTGAGGTGGGGAGGGACATTAGACAGGTATAATGTCATAGACTCCACCCTCCAAACCAGCCATTTCCTTCATGAGAACTACTCTTGCCATCCTACAGGTAAGCAATACAAAAAATACAAAAGATCAAACTGTGCATCAATAATGAAAAATATATATTCAACATATGAGTATAATAATCTATGCCTATATAAATAGTTTTTCAAAAATACAATATAATGTTCAGAAACTCAAAAATACATGGTCCAAATAAACAAACAGTCCCATCAATCCACTTTCAGAAACAGTCCAAAGTCAAATTCCTCAAACAGTGAAAAGTCCAAATATATATGTTTATAATTCCTCTTCAAAAAACTCATCTGTGATGCAGCACAGTAATTGGTCTTATGTACATTAAGAATGAAAAAGGTGCTGTGTATTATTCAATACTGGAGCTGGACAGTTTTGGCATTTTACTTTTGAGGAAGCAAGGCGATACAGCAACTTGAAGCTGGCGGGGCCGTGAAGTGGATACACAAGCAGCAAGACAAGTCTGTTTGAAGTTATCGTATTATTAGCTTTATTGCATTTATTTTATTGCTTTATTTGCATTTATTTTCTACAGGATGTGGAGCAGATGTATTTTGGTCAACCTTATTTACTGTTCTTACGTACTATGCTAATTCAACACTTGGAACGCAACACTGACATTATTCTTCATACGGATTTTTCTAATTGTTTGTCGCCAGAATGGCACATTTTCATCAAGGAAAACTATCCATATTTTATGGTCATTTCTGATATGGGACTGACATCCATACAGACAGACTATCTGAACATATTCCTCAGCCTTTCATTGTCAAAGAAAATCAATGTGGTACTTGTATCAGGAGAGAATTCAGACATTCTTAGAATTCATGCTTATCACGTTCAAAGCATGTATAGACACAGAGGATTTTTCTTAACGGTATGTTACAACACATCTTTTAAAAATCTTCTGTAACTAGAGGAAGCAGTATTCTTTGCCTTGTAGATTATTAATGAAGCAAGGAACTTAATCACTCCTATCTTAATGTTGCCATTTTTACAAAACAGCAAGAAAGATAGTTTGTAGAAGTAGGGAGATGAGGAGGCAGACAAATCTCAATTCCAAGAAAAGAGGTAGGTGAGGAGTTAGTGAACTTTGACAGAAGGTGTAGCCTTATACTGATGAAAACCAATAGACCTGAGAAAACAGTAGATTCATAGCCATGGTGGAAGTGTGACAGGGAAGACTAACAAGGCTTAGTTATCATAGTTTGTGGAAATGCAAGAACTGAAGAAGAGGAGGAGGAGGAAGAAGAAAAAGAGGAGGAAGAAGAAGAGATTGGATGTATACCCTGTCCTTCACTCAGAGTCTCAGAGCAGCTTACAAACTCTTTTCCCTTCCCCTCCTCACAACAGACACCCTGTGAGGTAGGTGGGGCTGAGAGAGCTCTGACAGAAATTGCTCTTTCAAGAACAGCTCTGACAGAACTATGGCTTGCCCAAGATCATCCAGCAGCTGCAAGTGGAGGAGTGGGGAATCAAACCCGGTTCTCCCAGATTAGAGTCTGCACACTTAACCACTACACCAAACTGGCTCTCATAAAACCATGGTGCCCAGTTGGCTGAGAGACAAACTATCTGTGATGTGGGAATTCCTCAACATGTAATTTAGTCTCTAAAAGCAGCCACAAGTAAGTTGCCAGCTGCCACAAGAAAAATGCCCAGTCTCTTTAATAGATGTTTAATAAGGGTGTTATTTAGTAGGGCTGTGGTCAGAAGTGCCATTTGGCATGGAGGGGAAGTGATCCTATTTCCTCTGGTGGAAACTGAAATGGAGTCGCACGATCACACATTCCTTGGGGCTGCAGGCTCAGCCCACCACTGCCCGATCAGATGGCACATTTGGGCAAGTGGCGTTTTCTTTTTGCCTTTTCCCCCACACGTGCATAAATAAAGAATCGGACCCCCATGGCAATCGGTGACTATGGATCACTTATGCGGCTATGTGCATACTGTTAAGCGAGCAAAAAAAAATGGTGCTGAGTTGGGATGGACTGGGCAGCCCATCCCAACGACTTGAGTGTGCTTGCACGATCAGACATAGGAAAGTCCATCCTTGGCCTGTCAGAACCAGTTAGAACCAGACTTTCCCCGGTGTCTTTTAACTCCGCTTCTGTGGCAGTGCAGCACAGGGTGCGAACAACTGTGGGACCTTTCCCAGATGTTGCTGTCTGATCATGTCATTTAGATCTGTCAGGCATTCACAGCTGAGTTGGATCTAAAGGCATGTCTGACTGCAGCCTAGGTGATGTTATTTATAACCTCCAGGCCATGCAAACCTTCAACCGCCCATTTTCACACTTTCTATTAAAGGAACAGGACATCTGTCTACAGATATGTTGGTAACCCATAAGGGAGGCCCAATGTGGACTGAGGCCATGGTGTTTGGGAAGAAGAGAATGTTTGTATAAAATGAGTAAGGTGGTAGTTAATGTCAGTGGAATTAAAGGCCCTCTTCATTGCTTATATTATGCTGTTGTCGAGTGCCTTGTTCTCTAATTTTGTGATCCATCTTTATTGCATTATTTATTGTTCATACTATAAAGGCATGTATCTCATGTGGATTTTAATATGCATGGGAGAGGTTATTTCACCAATTCCCTTTTTCCACAAGACACCTCTGATTCCCCAAAACTATTCCTCCAGGTGCAGAATTCAGGGGGTCATTCTGGGCTGTTGTGGGAGGGGAGAATTCATGAAAATCACCCCTCACACCCATAGAAATGCGATCCAAGTCAATATTCCTCTAAATTTTCCTCCAGTCTTATAATTCCTGTTTACTGTCTAGGTTATATTGTGTTTTTAGTACAATGTTCTCTAATTTTGTGGGTTGTATTATTATACTGTGTTATTTTTGGTTTTAATTTGCCTTGCATCTCAGTGAGAAAGTCAGACTGAAAGTGAAAAAGAAAATTTAATTTTCCCT